CCCCCCCTGATTGAATCTGGACTCCCTTACCAGGCTGTGCAGGCTGCTTGGCTGTTGTCGAAGCTCCTGCTTCTTCCTCGCTGTCTGAGGAACTGTCTGAGGAGCTCTCCTTGTGTATGGTGATGCCAGAGGACTTAGCAGCCAGAACCTGGCCCTGCCCTGGCTTAGCCTTCTGAGAGGGAGCTTGTCCTTCCTTCCCTGTCGCTTTTGTGGCAGGGCTTTGGCATTTGCTGGAAGCAGCATTGGGTGTATTCAAGGTGGTCTGTACACCCTTTCCTGAAGGAATGGCTGTTTTACCAGTCATCTGCTTAAAAAAAGGGTGAATAGGGGGCTGTAGAGGGAAAATACACAACCAGAAATGCATTTTAAAATGTGTGTTTTCTTAGAAATAACAGACATTTGCGTCTGAAACAAAAACAGTACTCAATTGCCATCAGTCACAGACAATGCAAATCTGCTCAGGATGCCTCAGTTTCTATTGCTGGCTGTTTCCCAGAAGTTCAGTATATACACAGAATTCTTTTCTGAGGGGTACCTGTATAATATTCATCTTTATCTTTAAAGATAAAACTGCTTTATCCTTAAAGCAATTAGCCATTCCAAAACTTATATAAACTTCTACATTATTTGCATCGCAGAAAAAAATGAGCCACTGTATTGCCAACCCCACCAATGTCAGATGTTAATACCACCATTGTTCCAAGAAGGGAACCTGCAAGATTAGCCTGACCCATGTGGCTTTACCTGTGGTATCTGATATACCCTGAGAACAGCCTTCTTGCAGAACGGCTTATTGTATGCAGAATGACCTCTCCCTTTACCTGCGCTGCTGGCTTCTCAGCTTCTTTGCTATCTGAAGAATCAGAGCTGCTGGTCTCTGAGCTCTCGGAGGCTTCTGGAACAGGGACAGCGCCTGATTTTGTTCGGGTTGTCCCCCCTTTCCCTGCTGGCTGAGGTTTGCCTGATGTGATCCCTGCATTCTTTGCTGTCGGGCTTTTCACGGGAATGAGAGCAGGTTTCCGTGTTATCTGAGCTGGTTTCTACAGAAATAAAATATTGTAGAATTAGACTGTGGCGAGGACAGAGTCATTCTTGATTCAAGGGGATTAAATCAGTAATTTGGTTGCCTGGACAGGTAGAATCACCAGCCTTAGAACTGGCAATGAAGATACTGAAGTGGTGGATAGCTTCTCCCTTTTAGGATCAACCATCACCCATAAAGGAACAAGCAATCAAGAAATACGCCACAGACTAGGACTTGGTAGAACAGCCGTGAAGGCCTTGGAAAAGATCTTCAAATGTTGTGATGTGACTATACCTACAAAGATCAGAATCGTGCAAACCAGGGTATTCCCTGTGCACTCTATGGAAGCAAAAGTTGGACTTTGAAAAAGCAGGATAGGAAGAGTATTGACATTTTTGAAGTTTGGTATTGGAGAAGACTTCTGTGAATGCTGCAGACAACCAAGAAAACAAACACATAGATCACTGAACAAATCAACCCAGAGTTCTCACTTGTGGCACAAATGATCAGGCTCAAATTATCCTACTTTGGACACATTATGCAAAGATTTAGCTCTCTGGAGAAGGCTCTAACGCTGGGAAAGGTGGAATGAAAGAGAAGAAGAGGAAGACCTGCAGCAAGGTGGATAGATTCAATTACAGTGGTGATGAGTGCACCATTGGGAGACTTGAAAGTCCAGGTTAGGGACAGATTGTCATGGAGAAAATTGATCTATGTGGTCACTAACAGTTGATGCTGACTTGATAGCACATCATCAATCAGTTATCTGACTACTCCACTATCACCAGTTGTTTCAGCTGTTTTCTAGAGGCTTGGTAAGTGTAGGAATTGGGTTATGGCAGTATTCAATACACAGGCTGCATGTTATAGCTCCTACTGGTGGTAGCTCTATAGAAACAGAAAATGGCCTAAAATATGGACAGGCTGGAATTGGAGCAGGTATTCCTTCACTTGTTCTGGTGCCAACCCACCTAAGGCTTTGCTTCAAAATGAGGGAACACCATAAAAACTGTAATCTGCTTCTATATTAGCTTCCAAGATGGTGTTTGATCTGCAAATTTCAATCATTTTCCTTTGTGAAAAAAACCCCACCTCCCTCCGCATTCCTACACATTTATAGTTGCTTAGTTTCCAAGATGCCAACAGACCTTGTTTATATGTTTCTATGGAACCTTCATTGCAAGAGGCTCCATAACCACCAAGCAGCTCAATATCTTGTTTCAGCCAATTTTCCTTGGCTAGAAGGAAAGGTGTGAGGAGAAAAACTAAGTCTGCCATCAGGGCTAGCCATATCATCTGTCTTACTCCAGCCTATAATTTCTAAGAGTCTCTCTAACTCATCTGAAATAACCACAAGGAGGTCTGGGGGTGGGGTGTGTGGTTGAGTTATAAATATTTAGGATGCTGATTAGGACTTAGTGTCAGTAGTCTCAGGGCTATTTTTAAGATGTCCAAAAAAGTGCTATGCTCCCCTTTGGCACAAACAGCACTAGTGTTATAGAAGGGCTTTCTCAATTTTGCCCCTTTTCTGGCTTGCTCTCAAGTGGAGAAACGCCATGAAAACAGGGGTGGGGATGGGGATTTCAGCTCAAGATATGGAAACCTTTGTGAGAGAAGAGTCTTTGTCTTGTCCTGAAGGGGAAGCTTATCTGAAGGGCCTTGTGGCGATTGCATCATCTTCCTGGGGCTGGAAATGGAATCCAAACTACAGAGTGTTAGAGGGATTCATCTGGGACAAATGCAAGGCATTTAGTTGGAAATGTTATTGTGTTTGTAAACAGACATAGAATAGATCTCATGCTGAAGGCTGTTTCTGTTTTGTCTTTTAGCTATAGGCTACTACTCTTAAGGGTAGAACACTTATTTTAATTTACTCTCTTTTTGTTGGTTGGTTTGGGCTGCTGCATTGGAACTGTACTGCGTTGAATATAGCACTCTAGAGAAAAACCCGTCTGCCACTTTTTTTTTCTTTTTTTTCTTTAAAAGCAGATTCTAGCCTCTTAAGGTGATGAAAAGAAATGGAAAGAAATGAAGCGCCTGGGGAAACTTCAGGATCTATCTGAGAGAAATGGCAGAGCTGAATTTTTCCAAGACTAACGCTCCCTTTTTTAATATAAATATCAATACAATAAAAGTATAAAAAATTAAAGTAAGAAAAAAATAAGAATATAAAAAAGAAAAACGAAATGAAATGAAGTGAAGTGAAAAAAGAAAACAAAGAATTATAATTCCTACTCTTCTATCGAGTAATTGCTATCTTATTCTTTTCCCTTCCTCTTTGACCCTTTTTAAATCCCCAGATCTATTCATCATCAGTTCAGTCTTTTCTTCTTTCAACAAAAAGTCCATATAAGGCTTCCAGTCTCAAGATCAACACTTCCAAAGAGCTACAAGACAAGACCAGAATCCCCTGCAAAATTTCTCCCCTTCTCATAATCAAGAAAAAGGCAGGATAAACTATGAATGTTAAGCAAGTATGCACAGATGGGCTTCTGTCTACTGTATACATGGCAGATTTAGTTTCTTCTTGGTGCAGAGCTCATCCCATCCTGTCCCGTCCCATCCCGTCCCGTCCCGTCCCATCCCATCCCGAATGTTTCCAGCTGCCCATATCTCCTTTGCTGAGACATTTCATATCTTCAGAGATTCAGAATTATGAAAGCAAATTTATGTAATGGAATAGAATTTGGATGATATATTCCAGACCGGCCCCTCTCTCAAAAACCCAAAGCCAAAACCTAATAACGGACAGTTTCTGGCCCAGAGTATGTACAGTCCTCTTCCTGCACTAAAACAGAGAAAGAAGAGATTCTCTCAGACAACAACCCTATAGCCTCTTCCTGAACTCAGTGCAACTGAGAGTTCTGTCAACCACCCACTTCATATTTTTAAGGTGTTCAGAATCAATAGCAATTAATGGCCAACTCCACAGACAATTACTTTTCCCACATGGCATAATGTTACAGGGCAGTGCGGGGGGTGGAGGAGAACTGCTGAAGCCTACAATCTTAACTAGAATTACTTTAAAGTCATTAAACTCAATGGGGCATATTTCAAAGTAAACAAGCACTGAACTGTTTTTACAGTACAATGTTATATTCCTACCTGCAACCCTTTCTCCTCTTTTTTTTAAACTGTCACACAAAATCCTCTCTCAGATTTACTTCTCCTGACCAGTTCTAAAAGCTAGATATTTTTGTGGAGGATGTGTGTGTTCCCATGTACTTTTCATATTCACCATCTGGGGCAACAACATAGAGTATATATTTATATATTCAACATATTTAAAAAAAACAGATATGCTTTGTAAGGTTTATCTTAATAAAGCTCTCTCTCTCTCTCTCTCTCTCTCTCTGTACATAAAGCCAGATCTGACGGTATATAATCCTCCACACTATTCAGTCATCAAGAACTGTCTAGGCAATTTTCCTGCACTGATCTTATTCTGGACCTCTCCCCCCATTTCTTGCTTGGAGATTTCCAACTTGCAGTAAGCAACTGCAGCAATTGGCAGTTCTGCTCAAGAACTTTGTTAGGAAGCAGCACTGCCAATTCTGGAACTTAAAACTTGAGTCACTAACCTCTGTAAATAGGGAAGAGAAAAAGAAAATATAATTGGACAGGAATAGACTCTACCTACCTACAGACATTACTTGGACAGCCAAGGTATCATTGCTAGATTAGAATTTTGAACCTGCTGCTGCTTCTGCTGTCAGTATCACTTTACCCATAATGCACCCCCTTACTCCAACAATTGAGGTAACAGCAGTTTACTCCATTTTTTCCTATGATCCCAAAGAGGTATCCTTAACGGTATAGAGCAGTGTTTTCCAACTTCAGCAGCTTTAAGATGTGGGGACTTCAACCTCCAGATTTTGGCTGGGGAATTCTGGGAATTGAAGTCCACACATCTTAAAGTTGCTGAGGTGAGAGACACTGGTATAGAGAACTGCAGCGGCAAATCAGGTAGCAGGGAAACAATTCTGTTTCATGGCCTCACCCTTCCAATGCAGTTACCATTACAATTTCTAAGGCAGGAATCTCAGGGTGGTGGTATGGAATGGTGGCTTGTTGGCAGAAATTTTTCTCCTGCTCTGAAGTTTGATATTTTTATTAATTCCTAGGCATTTAAGGCACAGAGTTAAGCTAAGATTCTCGGATACCAGGCCACATTTTTGCCACCTAACACCACACAAATGTGGTTTTTCAAAGTTGACCACCTGATGCTGTTAACCTCCCACATCCTTTTTCTTCCAGCAGAAGGAGTGGAAGAATTTCCAAAAGAACTAACCATTTGATTATTCTCTTTCCTGTTTCTCTGTACTGGATCCTACCATTACAACTACTTTCCTGCATTGGATTTTATAATTATAACAATTTTGTTAACTTTTCCTAATAGCTCCCACACCGAGGTGGAGGGAGAGAAAAGAGGGAGGAAGGATCTGACTGCAGCAACAAACAACATGGTGTGAGGCAAATTCTTCTTATAAAAGAAAAACCTTAGTCAAGATCAGCTCTGGAACTGAAAGTGCTTGAAAAATAGATTCCATTCAGCTCATACAGCAGTTGGATCTGAACTAAGATCTGGATTTGGATTATTAACACCATTTGTTAAGAGGAGCAAGTTGCGGGTTTTAACTAACTGCTTCTGTGAATGCTTGTGACTCATAAAGAATTACAAGCGTGGAGCAGTACAAGAAAACACAGCACATGGAAAATATTTTTAATACTTACAAAGAAGAAAGGGAAAGGGAAAGGAAACAAACAATGTTGAAGGAGAGGAAAAGGAGGGAATGGGAGGAAGAATCTGATTTAGAAATGCTTAATCAAATGTTCAAGAAACTAATTGCAAAAATGTCAGGACTGAATGAGACCATTCAATAATGGCAACAGAAGCTCATAAATACAGTGGAAGATAGGAAAGCTGATCTGAAAACAGAGATGGAGGATATGAGAGCTGATTTAAAAACACAGATTATAAACACCATGGAGAGTGCACAGCAAATGCACAGCAAAATACAGAGTTAAAAGAAAAACAAGAAAATTTGAAGGCTCAAGACTGAAAGCGCCAAGAAATGGAAAGAAATGGATATATTAGAATTTCAGTGAACAGAATTACATGTAAGATTCAGAGGTGTCCCAGAAGATTTTGGAAAAGGAGATCTTGAAAGCCACATGAAAACTTTGATGCAAGACTATCTAAAATAAATGGAGATTTTCCAGATACTGAGTACATTTTCAGGACAAATTCCATGTTTGTACAAAGAAGAAAAGTATCTCATAAAATTTTTACACAGGGTATGCTATTCTAAAACCTCATTTTTACATCCTGGCAATGCCCATGCAATGACTAGGCAAGATGCAGGTAGAGTGCGAGCGATTGTATGCAAGACTTGCAGAGGTGCTATGACAGAAACATGCACTGAGGAGAGGGCTTGGCAGAAGATGCAGAGGTGGAGAAGCAAGGAGAGGCATGAGCGGAAGGCTGATATGGGCAGCTGGAGCAGTGCATTTGCAGTTGTGAAGGCATCAGGAGAGCATGGCTGCAGAAACAGTGACAGGCAGGCCAGGAACAGGCATGAGGAAAGTACGAGCATAGGCAGATGGAAGAGATGAGAGGAGTGGAGTTGGGAAGTAGAACCAAGAGCATGCATACAACAGTTACTGAAGGCTGAAGAGGAGATGTAAGGTAGGTCAGTCAGCCTGTAATCAGAAAACACACAATGCCTTGAAAAGTGCTGAGGGAAAAGCCAGAGACTTAGTCAAGAACAGGCTGGGATGGAAAACGTAGCAGGAGTCAGGAGGAAGAAAACATATGGAGTTTGAATATTCTCCCCAAGTATGCATAGTTGAAGCTTCTCTTGCTCAGCGATTGCCCATAATGAGGTGCCAGGCTTCCTTGCAGATTCAGCAACTTGGTGTTTATTTGTAAGGCACATACTTTGATGGAGTGCAGGACTCTCAGACCAGGGGAGTATTCACCACTTCTTGGCACCCATGTTGGTCAAAGAGGGATTGGTGCTGGCCGAGGAAAGACCTGAGGAGGTATCAGGGTTGGCAGAGGAAGGGTCTGCCATTGCTGACCCTGTAGCACAACACCTGGCGGGATCTGATCCACCCACATTTTGGAGCTTGGCCCTGAGGCCTTAACAAGCATATTAAGACACCTTTAATTATAGAAGGGAAGCATATTCAAATATTTCAAGATGTCTCCCCCAGAATGTAAGAAAAAGGAGACAATTCACATTTCTTACAGGAGCACTAAGAAGCAAATAAATGAGATAGAGGATTCTGTTTGTATTGGAAGTCTTTTTAGAAACAAGAATAACCATTGGGACAATCACAGAGACTTCCTCTTTATATGAAAGACTCAATGGACAAAAAACTTTCTGGTATTGGGAAGGATACCGTAGATGAAGAAGAGGAGAAACTTGGAATAGCTGCAGCATTTTATTTCAAGGGGGAAAAGGAGGAAAGCTCCCAAGAAAGTATGGACATGTTGGCTTTGATGGATACTTAAGAGACTTAAAATCCAGAAGTAAGAGATTACACATTTTTTTCAGGCAGACATCAAATGTATTCAAGAATCAATATGTGTTGTATCTCCAAGGCTCTCACACCATTTATTAAGGATGCCCAATGACATACACAGATCATAATCTAATCTTAATATTGTGGTTCCAAGGAAAAACCCTGCCCTTTATATGGAGGAAGAATGAAATGCTATGACTTCTGGTTTCAAGAAGGAATATTACAGAAACATAATGACAATAATAATAGCAATATAGAAAGGGAATAAATAAACTGTTATATACAAGATCAGAAGTAACGGAAGAACTTGTAGAGCTTTCCAAGGAACTATATTCTAAGCATAAAATTAACAAGGAAAACTTGAAAACATATATTAAAGATTCAGAACTTAAAGAACTCACAGAAGACCACAGTCAAATATTAAGCAACCTGTAACAATTCAAGAGATCAAAGAAGCAATCAAGAGAAACAAAACTGGAAAGGCACCAGGCCCAGACGGGTTGCTGGCCCAATATTACAAAATGTTAGAGGAGGAAATGGAGACGATGAATGAAATTCAAACAACAAAAATACCAAACATGGGAAGAAGCATATGTAACTTTAATACATAAAGGGAACCTCAGCCACATAGACCAATTTCTTTATTTAATGTTGATTATAAGATATTCAGCACTATATTACCTAAGCGTGTAAAGAAGTGCATTCCTAAAATTATGCATACAGACCAGCTAGGTTGCATTCTAAAGAGGAAGAGGATGGATAATACCAGATTTGTTTAAAATGTATTAGAATGTATTAACAATAAGAAAAAGAAGGCAGCAGTAATATTTTTACATGTGGAAAAAGCCTTTGACAACTTGGAATGGACTTTTCTACTGGAGGTTCTAGATAAAATGAATACTGGAGAATAATTCCAATCTTAGGTGGAGAGCATATATCAGTGACAACAAATATAACAGCATATGGAACTCTCTCTGCAAGCTTCTCAAAATGTAAAAGTACAAGGCAAGGGTGTCCACTTTCTCCTTAACAGGTAGTCCTCCGTTAATGACCACTCATACAGCAATCATTCCAAGTTGCAATGGCGCTGAATGAGTGGTACAGGTAGTCCTTGTTTAACGACCATTTGTTTAATAATGGTTCGAAATTACGATGGCCTTGGAAAGTTCCAGCCATCACAGCACCCCCATGGTCACGTGATCTCGACCAGGTGCTTGACAACCAGCTCACACACTTACAACGGTTGCAACGTCCCGCAGTTACGTGACCTTCCCTGCCAGCTTCCCACAAACAAAGTCAACGGGGAAGCCAGCAGCGAAGGTTGCAAGTTGCTCCCCCTGCCTTTTCTCCCAAGGAAAGAGATATGGAAGAACTGATTAAAAAACAACTGGGAAAAAATGACTCAGATAAAAGGAACTGTAAAAGATTAAACGTAAGCAAAATGTTTAAGTAATAGTTTGTGGCTGGAAAAAAAATGAAAAGAAAGGAATGCTGCTTTTTGCAATATATTTCTTAATTATACTATATCTTCGTGCATCTCTTTTTCGATTGCCTACTTCTGCACAATGCCTATGCAATAATAAAACTAACCAAATACTCTATATCTTTATTTATTCACCGATTCGTTCCTAAGAGAGAAGCCCCCTTTCAGCCCCTTGCTCTCCTCCTCAGTGCTAAAACAGCCAATTACAAAGAACACCACCTGAACATTTAACATTCAGTCTCGAAAAACAAAAAACAACCCCCCCCCCAACTTTGTAAAAAAGGATGGCTGAGCACAGAAAAGTCTTTCCTCTCCCACAGATTTCTCTATGGTTACCTGAGTGAATGTTGCATCTTCCTCAGAGTCAGAGTCATCGCTTGAATCTTCGCTACTATCTTCACTCTGCTGGGCCTTCTGGTGAGATTCCTCTGGAGGCTGGGGCTTCACCTTACAGGCATCCTGAACTGCAGGACTTGCCTTGGGGGCTGAAAGCAATCAGGAGGGAGAAAAGTGATCACTCAGCCAGTTTTAGCTCCAGGCAAGAGCTTGTACACTTAGAACACATCGCTTTGGTCCTTCTTTGTCTCTGCTGTCTTTCGCAAGAGCCCCGAAGATGTGTTGATTCTCAGTGGTTTTCTCCTAAATGTTTGATGGGATGGCTCAAGGAACATGATTTCAAGATGTGATAGATTCTGATGTCTGATTTTATTGGCATTTTATGAATTGCCTTTTTGAAATACATTTTTATACTATAGGTAGTTTAGAAGTCTCTTTAAATCTGTATCAAAAAAAGGTTAATGGAGTGGGGGCAGAAGCTGCAATCCAGAAGAGATTCCCCCCTTCCCTCCCTCCAACTACCAAACATATCTTAGGAACAGCCACTGTGTTCTTCAAAAACTATTTTGTGAAACTATCCACAATTTCCTGATACCGGGAAAAATAAATCAGTCATGCTAGAATAAGTGGAACCTAAACTGATTCTTTTTTCTAACCATCTTTCAGACAGAAAGCTAGGAGAACTATGCAGGGTTTCAATTTGCAGTACTGAAACTTACATCTCATTAGTAATTACTTGCTTTTGACAAAGAAGATATTATTTTCCTTACTATGAAGCAAGCCAGAGTAACAGCAGGGTTGACTACATTTTTTTTAAATAAGCAAATACATGGCACTATAATAATGAAGAAAGCTAGATGCAGGAAGATGCCTCTTGATTTAAATACTCAGAACATATACCACTAAAAATTGCTACAGTTCTAAGGTTGTAAGACAAACCCATTAGGCCAAGGAAGTGGTGGAGAGATGATAGACTTTAAACCCCAGGAAAATCAGACATAGTTTTAAAAAAAATTCTAAAGATGTTTTGAAGTCCTCAGTTAATTTCTTTTAAAGCAACACATTACATCATCTCCCATAGTTATTAACAACTAAACACTCATTGTTACGGCTGCAAAACAGATTTTTCACAGATTTCTGTGAGAACAAATTTATGAGATCTGTCAGCTGCTGTAGCACCGATGGAAACACTGAACACAGTTTGCTAATCTGCGTTATTTCTTTGGCCAAAAACCACACAAGAAACTATTTCTGAGATACATCCGAAAAAGAATGTATGCTTTTGGATGTTGTATAAATAGGGCATACACAGGTTTAAAAGAACTTGCACAGAGAACTAACAACGAGAACAGTTAAAGTTAAAAATATTTCTTGAGGAATTTATATTAAAGTTTTGTACAAAATCTACGTATAGTATGGTGGAGAAAGTTGCAAATAAAAGTAGATACTATTTTTAATGCAGCTAAAAAAAAAATCTGTACCTTTTCAGTCTAATAGATGAAAATATTGCCTACAACTGATGGCGGAAAATGAACTAGACATAAGCTGATCAGCAGGTTCTTATAATACCATTCAATTAACAAGATCCTCCATACTCCATTATCTGACACAATCAATTATTGAAAGAATGTGATGGTTTAAATCCCAAAGCTAAGCTATGCTAGGCCTTGCTAGGGCTTCTTCATACGAAAAAGAACCATCAACCAGTTGTTTTCCATGAAACAGAGGGTTTCAGATCAAACCTTTCAGCTTTTAACAGTAAAGAGCAGCCCTCTGAACATTTCTGACCAAATTAAAATATGTCAACCACCTTCATTTATGAATAACCCAGAAAGTAAAACCAGTAACAAACCTGTTTGTTACTGGTTTTCTTCCATCTTTAAAAAACTCATCATTCAGAAATAAATCTGGGTTTGGCAACACCACAAAGGACATGTACACCCCATTTCCCTCAAAATGAGGAGACCTTCAGCTAATTTGTAAGACATTCTGAACCTACAGAATGAAGGCAGAATTGAAGATGCTAAGAGGTCTCTCATGTCACCTTTGAAATAACAGGCATCGGCTCCAAGTCCTGGCACTTCTGAATGCATTTTGTGCACATCCTTGTTATTTGTGCCCCTTCCCTGTCATGCTGTTCAAGCAAAGAAATTAGTAGAGCCACTGAAAATAAAAGATTCCCGCCCTGAATATCAACGGAGCTGGAGGCTTCTTACCAGATGGAGCTGGCAGTTTGCATGGTGTGGGAACAGTTTCATCCTCACTGTCAGATGAGCTGGTGCTTTCATTCTGTGCTTCCTTCCCTTTCAAAGCACCTGATGCAGCTTTGGGTACGATCCCAGGCTGATCAGCCTGATTTTGTTTGGTCCCTACAGAAGGGCGAGGAGTCAGCAATCTCTGCACCACAAGGGGGAAAAAAAGCAGACATATATGCAAAATTCACTGATTTCTCATACACATTTTCTCCCATCTTCAATTTCTAACAGAATCAAAATGATGTATTCCCACCATGAAAAATAGTGTCAGGACTGCAACTATAGTCGCAGCTACCTGATAGGTGAGTATCAGATAGCCCAGAGTGAATGAAATGTTTGTCTAGAGTGGCATTTTATAAATGGGGGAGGGGGAGTTCAGGCATTCAGGAGCAGAAGAACTTTCAGAAGACCTCTCAGTATGTATACATGTTGGTTTTAAATGTCTGTTTCCAATCACACCTCTCACTTTATGATATTATTTGCTATAGTCTCATCCTTATCATCTTGATAAAATCCTTGGGTCACCCAATTAGCCACATGGAAGGAACATTAATGTTTTCTGAGAATATGAAAAAACTCATACCAGATCAAGATCAGACCATTTGTTCATTAATTATCTTGTTATCATCTACACTGACTAGCAGTGACCATGCAGGATTTTTCCAGCCTTGACTCAAGGAGACAGCTGCCTCTGAATAAGTACCTTTCTTCCTGCCCCACAAAGATTCTTTTTTTTTTTTGCCTTAAAAGCTAAGTAATCAAATACCAATTGAGTAACAAATAAAAAACTATACAACTAAAAAGTGTGTTGGCTAAACTATTTCATGAATCCTTCACAACAGAGCTATAAACAGCCACTCTCAACAAAAGAATAATCACAGTGCAGGAATCCTGAGCTTTTGTCAAGAGGCTCAAGTTATTTCTATTGAAGGTTTTTACACAGATTCAAGCCAGACTTCTATACTCTTCTGGAGTTCCTAAGCTAGAAGAGAAGAATGAAAATGGGAAACAGAAGACCATCATCTACTCGTACACTTTTTTAGCAGCAACAAAACAAACAAAACCACCCCCATTATGGACAATAGGTGATAATGGAAGATCTTGTGTTTCTCTATCTACAATTTTTCTAAAAAAACAAAAAACAAAAAAACATAGATAGATATTACACTAGTGAATTTACACTGGTGTAAATTTATAGGAACAGCAATTACCTAATTAGTCATTCTGGCCCTGAACATTGTTACTAACTATTCTTAATCTGATTATAATCAGGGAATCTTTTCCCAACTTGATGCCTGTTACCTTCTGGAAATACTCAGATACAACTTCTACAATTCCCAGCTATCCCCACCACAACCGGAGGGTGCTGGATTAGAGTATAATCCACCCATTTCTGGATTATATTAGTACAGTACCCATTTATTAGGGATGAACCTGTGATTCTTCCAATACACTTTTAGCAGACACCATGTCTCTTCCTAGTTCAATATACCCATCCCACGGAGGCAGTATCCAGAACAGCCATTTTCTAACCTCCTTTATTATTGCACTCCCAAGGAAGTGAAGTGATTCCACCTAATGAGACACCAGAGAAATCTATTGTGTGAAAGCCACTGACTGTACAGTAACAAAGAATTTATCTATTCTAAATTAGTGTTGAAAAAAATTTCAAATCTCAGTATGTTATCCATGAACAAGAGGGTTAGCTGTACTTGTAAAGAGATTCACTAACAGGAGAGGCAAACTAAACTACAGGTAGTCCTTGGGTTTCGACTATTCATTCAACGACCGTTCAAAGTTATGACGGTGCTGAACGAATGGTAGTTATAACTGGTCCTCAAAGTTCCAGCCACTGCAGTGCCCTGTGGTCTTGTGATTAAATATGGGAGCTTAGTGACTCGTCCGCATTTATGACCATCGCAGTGTCCCATGGTCAAGTTCTCCTACTGTGTGCAAACTGCTTGTGCTTCTACTCCCCCCCACCTATCTCCCCCTCATCTCTGCCCTTTTGGCTCACCTGCAGTTTGCTGCCCACCCCTGACCTTCACCTGTCTTCTTCCCCCCACTGCTAGCCCAGAATTCAGGTGCTGGGTGAGGGTGCAGCCCTGGGATGTGTATGCCAAGTGTGGTGGAGACTCGTCTGCCGAAGGGAGCCCACTGGACCTGGCCAGGGAGGAGGCAGTGGGACAGAACCAGCGGAGGAGCAGGGCAGTGGTGCAGGCAGAGGAGTCCTGCCTTCTGCTGCCAGCATGAGGAGAGACAGTCCACAGACTGTGGAGAGTGCAGTGGGACGGAACGGCAAGGTGCGGTGTGCTCTGTTGCTGGATGAGGCAGGAGAGGTGGCAGCTCCCCAGACAAAATTAGTGGCTATGCTGGAGGCGCTGTTTGGGGTGGTGGCGGAACTGGAGGGAGCAGAGGGATGTCAGCCTCCCAGGGAGGCAGGAAACACAACAAGGAGAGCTAATTCTACTTGATTAAAGGCTATATTAACAGAATCTTGCAAGTTTGAAAGTACAAATCTCCTGCCGTCTCTTTTTACAGCCTGATAAGTTAGGGTGGATCCTTTCTAAGTTTCTTTCTCTGCCAGTTATTCAGCTGCAGGTTCCTCCCCCTTTTATCTGATTGTTCCCTAGGAAGCATCTCTCAAGATCATTCCCACATATCATTACAAGGGACGAGGGCTTCCTAGCGGCACAGCGTGCCCTCCGCAGCGTGCGTTGCAAGCTGCTGTCCTCCTTTGTGAGGCCTTGCAGGAAGAAGGCTGGGCTGAGTGAGCAGAGGGCCTGCAAGTGGGCTCTGTCGGTGCTGGGCTCACCTTTACCCCTCACTGAAGCCCACTGGCCAGTTCTCCAATAGTCCTTCCAACGCTCAGAGGGAGGAAGAAGATGGCAAAGGTCAGCTGGGGGCAGCAGCAGGGAGCAGAGTGCAGGGCAGACAGAAAGGCAGAAATTAGGGGGAGATAGGTGGCCGGGGGGAGTTGAAGCAGAGGCAGTTTGCACAGGGCAGGAGAAGCATGAGCTCTTCACCTAATGACCGCAACCGGGACTGCTATCACTAAGTGGTGTGGTCGTGTGATGTTCTGCTTAACGACCACTTCGCTTAGTGACAAAAACTCCAGTACCAATTAGGGTCATAACCTGAGGACTACCTGTATAGCCTGAAACAGATACGAAGACTTAATTTGCATGCCAAGCTTCTTATCTTGAGAATTTAAATACCAGCTTTTTGGTAACATTTAAATTGGCTAATTTGTCAGATCAACTGCTTCATGAATGACAAAAGACAAATAACTGCTGATTCAAAATCCTTTGGACTTGCCAGCACTAAAGGTGGACAATGCCCACAGTGTAAAAATAACAGCCCCATGTAGATGTATTTGCAATAGAGTTTATTTAGGAAAGAAGAGGGGGAATAAAAAGCAGCACTACTTTTACAAAACACAACCAACCATTCAATTACCCTAGAAGGAAGCCACACGGTGGTGAGCAGTACAAGCTACAGTTGCCTGAATTACATCAGATTTCAAAGCCCCCCCAAAGGAAGCTAAATCAAAGCAATCTTTTCAAGAAACTCAGCATCTGGTCTGCTGTATTTTTAAGAACTCTGGGGAGAATAACAAAAATGAGGCAAGAAAAGAAGAAATCATTTTCTGAGCAGCTTTCATCTGTTAAACAGGGCAATACCTAGGCTGCTAGGTCTCTAACAACAGTTCTTTTTTTCTTATCCCGCTGTGTGACAACTAATACTGTAAGATGGTGTAAAATATGATGCAAAACACATCTGACAGCTGCTTGCCAGAAAAGGCATGTGCTGTAAAAAGGGAAAAGGAGTTATGTAGATGGACTTATTTCTACTTTTCTTCCCCCTTCGTACATCTTCAGTCTTAGTAATTTGGAAGTTCACGTTATTACTAGATAATTGATATGTACAATTTTGTCTTTTTTTGTGCCATTTTTCTTTTTTCCCCCAAATCAATGCAACTACCCTAACTGTAGGGTAGGGTATCTGCTGATTTTGAATCAGCAGATATTTCTCTTGTGTCATTCATGAAGCAGTTGATCTGACAAATTAACCAATTTAAATGTTCCCAAAACATAACTAAATGGATAGGTTGGGTAACATAGGTGCCTGCTTTAACACAAATCTTTCATTTGTAATATATATATTACCTTATTATATAATCTTAAAGGAATGAGATAGTAAATGGGGCTTTGGAAGTAAGAATTTTGGATTCAAGGCTTACACTGAATATGGAGTCATGTTGTAACAAGAATAATAGGGATTCTGGCATTACTTGTGCCATCCCGGGGTGGTAGTGGTGATTGGAGGAAAAAAGGCTTCAACAGCCACTAGCAGAACATAACACAACTTTCTCCAGAATCTTTAGAAAGTAAGTATCAGACAACAAATAGAAAGGTTACTTTGAAAGTATGAAAAAAGACATTTAGCCCATTCCTTGTAGTATAATTGCAATGATTCTCAAACATATCTTGAAAGGGATCTGTAAAAGCATAGTTAACATCAGTTCTAGTATGGTTTGATCTATGATTTATGTCTTTAGGTACAAATACGAAGCATTCTAAATTTCCAGGTTTATCTGGAGGAAATGTTTGGTTCATTCAAGTAGTCTACACAAGAGGCCAAATTTTGAGAGGAAAGGAAAACTTTTGGTATCATTAGCTAGATCATTTTTTCTTCAATATATCCTTTTCATCCTCAAAAAGAGCATTCAATGGAAACTTCACCATAAAAACCCAAGCTAAGGTTATCAAACCATTCTATAATACTTTTATAGTATGTCGCTTGTATTCATTTTTTTAAAATAGTGCCAACTGAAGAATCAAATTAAAACAAAAACAAAAACCCTAATCAACAGATTTGTAAAATGTGCCAATCAAAAGGCTGCAGCAAATGTGCACTGAACAATAATAGGATTCACATGACTGAAAAGTTATCGCTCACATCTTCTCAAAAGAATAAAAGTGTATCCTCTAAGGGTATTAGAGAACACTTTTTAATACTTCGTCAAACTGTAAGATTTTCTGTGATGCATGAGGCCTAACAATTTCCTGAACACCTAGTTTGTATTTTGGCTGCCTTGGATGACTCCATTCCCAAGGAGGAAGAGAAAGACCAGGAGCTGGATAAAGAGTTGATGAATCTCAGGATTCAGAATCAAGATTTGGCTGAATCTCTCTCTACTTCCCCTGATTATCCAACTTTGGATCCTGACCCTGTCAGGAAGATACGTAGCTTCCAAAACATAGGAGCACTGAAGCCACATTTCCTAAATGCAGAGATGAAGAAGTGCCAGACTGCTTGGGAAGAGCACCCTGAGAATAAAAGTCTGCTGGGGAGTAAGCTATTACTCTTCAGCAACCCAGGATCTACTGTTCTGCCAACTGAATTCTGGTGGAGCTTTTAGTATAACATATACAATATACATAAGGTAGTTCTGATGCATAAGTATAGAAATCTTCTATCTCTTGTATTTGTTGGTGCCAACACCAACCTCCAAAGCACAGAAAGCTACATTAAAAATTGAAACCACCCACAAGGAAATATTGGTTTTTTAAGTAGTAGTGTAGGAGGTAGAGACATTTCAAATGAAGTTGGCTAGACAGCTTAATAAGAACAATTTGTAGAAGTGTGACAATCATTAACTTATTTGCAGAGCTCCATTTTTATTTAATTTAATCAATGGATAACCATGTACACAGTTCCTGTATAATTTTACATCTAATGAATAATTTGCTAATTTTTGTCAGGCTTCAAATTTCATGAAATATTATCGATTATTTTAACTGCATTCTTTGAAGTCTGGAACCCTTCTGATTCCAAAGGTTATTATTGACTGAGCTGTGGTTATTTTTCTAAAAGTGTAAAGTGTATTAGCCCTCTCTTGTGCACAATTGCCAAGAATAGAAACTGTTATGTCACTTTCATTTGGAACTATATGTAAGGCTATCCAACTCCAGCAAATTTTACCTGTTCACCATCCCTATTCAAAATGCAACCATCCTAGAAACCCTTTGGATTTCCAAAGTATTTAATAAAAGATCTTGGGACTCCAGTTAATTTTAAATGTTAGTTATAGTCCTCATGCCTCAATCAGGGGAGATGGAGAGGCAGGAAAAGTAATCCAAAGGGCAATTTCTGCAGAATTAAAATGAAGAGTTTCTGTGCATGTGGGATTTGGGATCCAGGCTCTAATATGTATCACTTTTTTTCTATGTCATATGATTGCCTAAACAGAAGTAGAAAGAAGATGATTCTCTCTTCCTCTTCCATGCTTTTGCATTCTGGTTTGATGGTTGAAAACTGAAAAAAGTAATGGTGTAGAGGGAAAGAAAATGTCCTACAATATAAGTACATTTCCACTTAGATAATGCAAGATTTTGCCAATTAGTCCTGTTCTATGCGTTAATTTAGCTGTACAATGGATTTAGAAACCATCTGCTCCTTTTCCTTTCGCAGGTCTTCAATGAGTTCAGACTTCTGCTCCAGCCCCTCTCTGTTCATCTCCAGACATTATGTTCTGTATTTAATTTAGAAGCAACTGAAGGAGATGTATATGAAACATTCAGAAAGGAACATATCCATTCACATTCTGCCAACTGAGAAGTATATGGAAGCAGTGCCATGGAGAATGCTAGACTTATCCCAGTGGAGAGAAAAGAGTTAGGAAAGTGTAGCAAGAGGCAAAGCAGAGACCAATTTTTATAAATGAAAGATTTTTGATATGGTCAGATGATTAAATCAATAAAGTTTCTGTTCTATAAATGAAAGATGGGGCAGATAATAGGTGTACCATATTAGGCTTCTAAGACTCCAATGGTGAGAGCTAGAAATGCAGTGTTTTAAGACAGGGCTGGGAGACCCATTGTGCAAAACTAGGATCACCTTGTCCAAAATTATTCTGCCCGATCATGTAGAGAAAGTCTGCTTAAGGTCCACTTCCATGAGAAGTAAGAGGCCAATGGACCAGAAGGCTGGCATTTTTTGTCACAGTTCATGGAATGTGCAACTCCAGAGTTATGCTTCGCCCCTTTGTTTCTGATTGTCAGGAAATCACTCAAAACTTCCTTTTTAAAGAAGCATTTGATTACTACCTGGATTTAAGGCAAATAAACAAACAAAAAAAGATGCTTAAAAATATGACTATACATGATCAAGAAATCTTGGTGAAAATGTCTGGTTTTAAAATTGAGAAAAAGGTTAAATATTTGGAGGACACACTGACTAATATGAATTGTATGTTGTATCAGAATAATTATGTTAAAGTTCAGAATGATATAAATTTTTTTTACTGAGATGGGATAAGTTACAATTGTCATTGCAAAGTAGAATTTCAGTAATTAAAATGAATGTTTTACCCAGAACATTATTTCTTTTCCAGAGAATACCAATATTGACAACCGATGTACCATTTAAACAATGGCAAAAAGATATTTCTAAATTTGTGTGGTGGGGAAAAAAAACGAGAATAAAATATAGACTTTTACAGGATGCTAAAGAGGTGGGTTAGGCCTTCCAGATTTAAAGTTATATTTTGATGCTTGTAGTCTGGCATGGATGAAAGAGTGGGTAATTCTAAAAAACAAGAGGTTATTTGAATTAGAAAGACATGATTTAAGATTTGGATGGCATGGATATTTATGGTATGACAAAATGAAAGTTAACACTGATTTTAAGAATCATTTTATTAGACGTGCCATACTGAGAGTTTGGAACAGATATAAAGCAAAATTGTCTCCTAAAATTCCTTTATGGTTGTCACCTCAAGAAGCCTTTTACAGAAGAGAAATGACACTTAAACAAATATAGTTGACATATGTGAATTTATTATTGTTTTCTGAAACAGAACCTAAACTGAAGAAGAGGGAAGAATTAGATTTGGAAGGTTATACTTGTCAATGATTTACTTATGTACAGTTATTGGCAAGACTTAAACTGGATAAGAAAAGTTAGGATTTTACCTGTGAAAAAAGTGACTGAATATGCTTTATGTACTAATGATGAACATGCTATTGCCAAGATGTATAAACTTTTATTGAAGATGGATATGAAGGATGAATATGTTAAGGACTGTATGTTCAATTGGGCAACAAACTTTGGATATAATATAATGTTGGATCAATGGGGAAATATGTGGCATAAAGGCTTGAAGTTTACTCTTAATTACAACTTAAAAGAAAATTTTTATAAAATGATGTACTGTTGGTATTTGACACTGGATAAGTTATCTAAGATGTACAAAGGAATTTCAAATATATGTTGGAAATGTAAACAATGTGAAGGTACTTGTTATAATCTTTGGTGGACTTGTAAGAAAGCTAAGAAATATTGGAATATATGTATTTTGATTAAAAAAAATTTAAAATGGATGTACAATTGAAACCTTTTACTCAAGATTCAAAAAAAATGAAAACTTTATTTTGGGGTTGATGACTGATTTATTTTATAACTGTAGAAATACTTTGTATTAACTCTGTTTATAGCTTTTGCTGAAATGGATTTATTTTCTTCTGTATTTTAAATATTAGAGTAAGAGGTGAATGTATTTTGTATCAATACCTGTACCAAAGAAAGTCAGAAGTTACTTTTTTCCTTCTATGTTTTGTCTCTTTTGCTAACTTCTTTTCTTGACATTTTACTTTTTGCTGAAATTTAATAAAATTCTTTTTAAAAAAAGAAACATTTGATGATTCTGATGTCTAGTCATGGAAAGAGGGGATGACCATCTTATTTTAATTATTACATTTCTGACATGTTAATGCATTTTAACAGACTGTTTAATGTTCATATTGTTTTTGTACACCATCCAGAGTCGTTACCCTGGCAGGCTGTAGATATCTTATTAGAAAATAAGTAAATCATCTTACAACGGTTTGCTCATGCAAAAGAAAGACCACAATTCCCAGTATTTCAAGGAAAAACACCAACCTTCTGACTTATTGGAACTGGCAGAGTCTCATTCTCGCTCTCAGATGACGATTCGCTGCTCTCTGAGCTCTGTGCTTCTTTTGAAGGAGGGGGGGGTTTTGCTAAGCTGGTCGCGGGGGGCTTCTGGGTGGATTTTGATGGAGAGGAAGCAGAGACTGCCTTGTTTAATGAACTTGATGCTGCATTTTTCGCTGGTGCTTTGAAGGTCTGAGGATTTTTTCCAGAAAGTTTTAACTAATGTTAAGAAATTAGAAGAATGGTATAGATAAGAGTTCATGAACTTGAGTGAGACATTCTAGTATAAGAAGTCAAAATGAAGGCTCGGAAAGTAGGTTAAATTGTTCTGAAACTTTATCAATTTCTTTTAATTGATTTTAATATTAAATTAAAAATATTAAATATTTTTTAATATTAAAATTTAATATTTTTAAATTCAGAGCAATATAAATTTTTAAATGAATAAAAATATAACTATTTTGTGTATATACACATATAATTTTTTCCAAATACTTCAAAGCAGTTCCCAGTGTAAGAACCTGAATGAGTTGTTTGTATTTCAGTCCTTCATTATGTGAAAGTTTTGTGTTAAGTATAAATATCTGAAGGAAACAGACATTATTACGAAGTAAAAAATAGTAAACATGCCTTAAAAAAAAAAAGGATGTAATGCAAAATTGGCTAGGCTTCATGCACAGTTGCCGCCATGCTTACTAAGGTACCCTTTACATGCTGTAAAGTATTTCAACAGCATACTGGTAGGATTTTATAGTTAGCAGTCATGGAAGCTGCAGTTGTGAAAGTGAGGGATGGACCTGGGGGACAGATGCTGGTGGGAGGCAAACAACCAGGGCCTATTAGATCTCTTGGCAGCATTCATTTTCTGACCACCGCAACCTTCTGGATCACCTAACAGAGTTGGGGAGGGGGCAGAGTTTATGGTTGTTCTATTCCTTCCTGAGTGGGAGGTTCCAGTCAGTAACTATAAGGGAGAAGCAACTGAGCTCCTACTGCTTGAATGTAGGTACCTACATGGAACAGCTGGGAGAGGGTATCCATCGATCTGGGGCAGGGCATCATCAATGTATTGATTATAACTAATTACACATTTCCTCTCCTGGCCAAGTTGGAAATATAATGGAGGCCCTCCACAGTGTTTGGGGGCTGAGAGGGACTGGAACGGACAAAATATGCTGAAATGGAATCACAGCAAGACAGAGGTATTGCTCATACATAAACTATCTGATCCATTCCAATTCTTATGTGGGCTGTGGATGGAACCCTAATTCTCCCTGAGGGAATAGGTCCATGTCTTGAAGGTCCTCCTTGGATTCAGAGCACTTCCTTGATCAGCAGGTGGAGGCCACGGCTAGGTACACTTTGCCCAGTTGGAATGCTTTTTGGAGAAGGAACCCCTAGTGACAGTGACTCATGCCCTTATCATCTTTAGAGTCAAGTATTACTTGGAGCTATCTTTGAAGATTACCCTAAACTATAGTTGGTATACAATACAGCTGTCTCCTGTCTACAGTTGGTATACATTGCAGCTGTCTCCTAAAAAGTCAGAGAGTTTTCATAGACGATCACCTGTTTTGCAGGTACTACATTGTTTTTCAATAAATTTCCTAGTGCGAGTCAAAATGCGACTGCTAACCCATATAATGTCACATGGCCAGGTTCATTTGTATTAATGGGACTATCTCCTCCAAACTAAATTTGCTTGCCTTGAATGAATTTTGTGGGAGGGGATACTTTGAGTTCTCATCCTGTGAGAGATGGAGGAGGAGGAACCTAAAGGCAGAACTTCTTTCTTGTCCTCACGTCACTATGGAACAGACTGCCCACCGAAGTTTGATTGAATCCAACCCTGATATGTTTTAGGAAGCTGATAAAAACAGCCTTACAGTAAGTAAATGGTGTTGGGCTGCCTTGGGTTCTAATTATTTAGTTTATATTTACATTTATTTGGTTAGGTTGTTTTAATTAGTATATTTTTAATTTTAGAGGACTGATTGAGTTGCTATATAATAACAATTTCGCTAATTATTTTAAGAGACAAATTTCATATATTTTGAGTAATAATCAGCTACCAAGAGATACTTTGTTTTCTGAAACTCAATTATATCAGCCCCAATTTATGACAAGGTCATATAAGCAGTTCATGTTTTTCCGCTTATATGTCAGATTTTTAGAAATAAGAATTCACAAGCATGTCTTAATACCTCTACAAGAATATTCATATCAGGTCAATTTAGCCCTTTTCTTACAAAATTTCCAAATAACGTCCACGAATGATGTTCAGTATCTCAGATTTTAATCTTTCTGGCACACAAATTAGACTTTTATAAGTACATAATAATTCCAGCATGACTAGACTTCTGGAATTGTCTCTTTTTGAAGCTATCCTAATATAAAAATGTCTCTTAATGATTGTAACATTTTATCCTCCAACCCCGGGTCCTTGATATCCTTCAGGTTTCTATCAGAGATGGTAAATATGACACTGTTAAATTTACTGCAACATCAGAATAATATGAACCAAATTCTTCTCAACTGTCAATAAAACTCAAGTCAGAGCATCAGCAGTTACTATTTCCTTTTCAGTTTTATAAACTATTTGCTACTGTAATGTTTGCAATCATCTCTGCGTTCTAGCAGAGGCACAATATAGTGGTTTCTTAAAAAGTTCCCAAAGATTTAGGATCTTTCTCCACCATCCCTTATTTTCCAAGAAGAAACCTTTGTATATCACAAATAATGGCTAATACTGCTTTTCTTTTTGTGAATAATTGTGTTGTCTTTTAGCTGTAGCATTACAATTATATACTGTATGCTCTTGGTAATCCCTGTAACAAATCCATCAATTATACAATTTTCTATCTTATGAAATTATAGTAGTTTAAAGTCAGTCACTGCTTTGAATTATTTAGCAATAGATGGAGAACCATACACTTCCTTTCCCGTTTGAAATGTTAGTCTGCTGGGTGAATAATATGATGTCTAGATACAGACCATTTTCAAGTTTTCAAATTTATTTATTAAAAATGTATAGCTATAGCCCTTGGCATTCCTTTAACATTAAAATCGTATTTTACATTAAAATACAATTAAAGCAAGAGGCTTTTATTCAACACTGCCCCACAAGTTCTAACACTTCTACATGTTTTAGACTAACAGTGCAGTTGTGTGAATCAAGTTACACTCTGTGACATGGCTTCATTAAAATCAGATAAAAGGAAGCATTTTTTATCTGAATTTTGCTGAGAAACAGTCTACCTTTTCCACTAATGGGCAGCATAAAAGACAATATGGTAAATCCTCAGCCTGAGAATAGCCACAAGGGCAGGGTCTTTGTTCAGCCACAAATTTTAAAAAAATTACCCTTGTGGGCAATGTTTGTAATCTTAAGGCTGTACAGGTAGTCCTTGACTTATGACCATTTGTTCAGTGACCATTCAAAGTTACAGTGGTGCTGGAAAAAGGAAGTTATGACTGATCCCCGAAGTTACGGCCACTGCAGTGCCCCCGCAGTCATGCAATCAAAATTTGGGTGCTTGGCAGTATGCCCGCACTTAGGACTACAGGGGCACTTCAACTCCCCCACCCAACTTCCCCCCTATCTCTGCCCTTTCAGTTGCCTTGCACTCTGCCGTCTACCCCTGCTGCCCGCAGCTGACCTTGGTGTCTTCTTCCTCGTTTTCCAGGAATGCTTCCAACATATCCTCCTGTTTTCCAGGAACGCTTCCAACATGAGCCCACGTTCCTCTGCTCCCTCCAGTTCTGCCGCCATCCCAAACAGTGCCTCCGATACAGCCTCTACCTTTGCCTGGGGAGCTGCCACCGGCTCTCCTGCCTCGCACAGCAATGGAGAGCACCATTCCTCACTGTCCTGCTGCCTCCTCCCCCACCGGGCTTGGCAAGCTCCCTTCAGCAGAAAAGGCTCCACCTCCCTGCCACGCTCACTGTGTGCATCCCAGGGCTGCACCCTCACCCAGCACCTGGATCCCAGGCTAGCAGCAGGAAGAAGATGCGAAGGTCAGCCATGGGCAGCAGGGGGTGGCAGAGGTAGGCAGCAGAGTTCAGGGCAGCCAAAAGGGCAGAGATGGGGGGGAGATAGGCAGATTGGGGGAGCTGGAAAGAAGGTGAGCACTGCAGGGCAGGAGAAGCATGAGGTCCCAGCCTAACAATGGTGTTGTCCTGGCTTAACGACTGCAACTGGGACTACCAGAACTACCGTCACTAAGTGATGCGGGCATGTGATGCTTCAGCTAACAATCAGATCACTTAGTGATGGAAATTCTGGTGCCAATTGTGGTCATAAGTCGAGGACTACCTGTAAATGCTTGGTGAACTTTACAGAAGATTATATTAACTAAATACTTAGTTATATTCCAATTTCAAGCTGTCAAACCAAGGTGAGAACCTAGCTGTGAGAACCTAACCTTACTATGAGATTCTTATCTCTCCAACTCTCACAGCTCCTTAGATTCCAAAGGAATAGTTGGCACTGGGAGTGAATATTTGCCCAACAATTCATATACGGTAGATTTCCAGTCACTTTATTGGACTGACCAATAAGCTATATTTTCCCTACCTACATTTTATACCTATTGGCTTCAGATGTTGGGATCAATATCTTAGCGAACATTACCAGTGCATCTCACCTGTGCTACTAAAGCAGGTTCCTTAGCCTCACTGTCCGATGAGTCACTACTTTCTGAAGTGTCTGTCGATTCTGTGCTTTTCTTTGCATTTCCAGATCTTACACTGGTTTGCTTTGCTGGAGTTACCTTTACTGCATTTCTTGTAGAAGATCCAGCAGTGGCTGGTGACTTTTTCACCAATGGACTACTGACCTGGGCATTTTGTACAGCTGGTTTAACCTAGAAGAAAAGATAAAAAAAATAGTTATTATTGGGGTTGAGGGGGGAAGAATATAGGCAGCATAGGGATTGGCTACTAAAGATGCATACTCTACCTAGTGTACTGTCTCTCAAAGTAGCTTCGGAAGAGTCAAGCTGGGACAGGAGAAGTCTAAAACCAGGTAAGACTTATACCACATTTGATCCATTGATTAACTGTCTTTCTATTAAGTCTGATCTATTTCTCTCACTTGAAGGAGATAAATAAAGGACAATATATCTGCTCATACATCAGTACTCTCTGGTACTGACAAAGCTCTGGAAAGTTGAGTATGTGATTTTAGGAGGAAGGAAGCAGAAGACAAGTATGGCTTTCTCTTGAATTTCCTAGAACCCATTTGGGTAGGGGAACTTTTCTGCCTTTCCCGCTAAGAGAAGGAAGTGAGGGAGGTCAGCTTGGGGAGAAAGTCCCTTGGGCAAAACAATTTGAAGCCAGGAGAAAAAAAGAAAAGAAAATGTAAAAAAACTATGGGGTGGGAAGACTGGCAGAAAAGGAAAACTGAAGTTTGGCAATAGCTCCCACGTCAAGGTTAGAGAGATAAATCAATCTCATTTTTTCCCCCAATCAAACAAAACAAACACCAGGGAGGAACTTCTCCTGAAAATGAGATGCTAAATTTGACTAAAATAATGCTATCCTGCCTGCTCTCCCATTATAGGAATAAGAATTGCATTCTGCTCACAATTCCAATTTCACATTCTCATAACCATTCTTTTGTCCATTCTCCCCTCTCTCCAGAGGTAGGTGAATAATTTATAATGTATTCCCTTCCTTGTTTTTAGAATGAAGTCCTCAAGAGCCAATTCAGACTTTAGCACTGAAACAGGAGACAATGTAGTACCAACTCTAAAATGCACATGGGAGAAATGGGAGAAACAATTCCTCTGAAAGTATCCAAGCATAAGAAATTCCTTGCAGCCTTAAAAGCTAATGCCTTGCATGAAAGCAGAGGTTGGAAAGCTCCATGCCAACATTTAAGTTTTTCATGGGCAAAAGCACAGTGATGCAGCAATACATTCAAATAACAGGGGCAGGTTCGTTTAATTTAGAACCCCGTCAAACCTGAGTGCATATTTTAATTAGCTCTGCAGTGTTTACTGGTCATTAGAGGTCCAATCTATTCCCTCGTGTCTATTTCAGTTTCTAGGGAATTGCAATTCTATTCACTCCAGGAAAAGGGTGCACGTAGTCCGCGCTCTTGCTTTTCCCCGACGACCTTTTCAGGACAAAAAGTCTACACTAAACAAATGACCAATGCCTGAAGGTCGATGATCTGGAGCTGCTGCCCAATCCTACAAACTTCCCTCAATGTAGCCTCCCCTTTGGAACAAGCCAAGTGGGCAGAAGCAGAGAGCATCCTTTCTCAGAGGCACTTTCCATGCTCTGCCTGTGTCAGGTGAGTGAATCGTTTAGCTACCTTGCAGGCACAGAGAAAAAGGATATGCCATTCCCCCTAATTTAGAAAATTGTTAACTGGAATTACTTGGACTGCTGGTGCTTTTGATCCTTCTTCAGAGTCAGAATCATCACTTGAGTCCTCACTTGTGCTTTCCGTCTTCTTTAAAGCTACAATACAGAAAAGAGGATTTGATGCTAAATGAGATCACTTTTTAAAAACATTAAGCATTTATGGCTACCAAGGCCAAATTATAGGATGCCCAATGTTATCTTTGTTAGACCATCAATTACTCCACATATCAAGATTTAAGATACTTTCATATTGCAAATTAGATGTGGGGCCCATCCCTTCCTACCATCACCAACCACAGTAATCAGAAGTAGCTTCAGCCATCTAAAGTTCTTGCAATGTTACAGGTATGTCTTGCCAGTTCTGGAAAAGAGAAGGCGCTAAAGCCAAAAAAGTCATGTTTCTGTGACACTGCAAAGACACCCTTCAATCCTTGTCCACATATTCAGAACACAATGGCCACATGTTAGACATCACACCAACTGTTATGACAGGCTAATATCTGTTTTTCTTGAGGTATAGTCTTTATAGATAGCATCTGGATTGGCATTAAAAGAAACTTATTTTAGGCAGCTCAGTATAACAGTGTTGCATTGCACAGAAACACCCATCCTATAGGTCATTTAAAGCAGCCTCCCTGGTGGCCTTTAGATTCTGTTTCCAAAAGTCCCAGTTAGCCCATCAATCCTGTCTGGAGGATACTATTTGGGCAAGGATATCTTAAGATGCTTTCTCAGCTGGCAATGGATATACTCTCCTTGACAGTGAGTTTATGCCTTCTTTCAGCCTAGAACAAGTTCTTTGATATTACTTGAGAGAGAGAGAGAGCGAGAGAGAGGTTAAATTACTGTAGCAGATCTTCACCATTATTGATAAGACAATAAAGGTGACACCCTTCTGCAAATTTAGAGCACTATCTATGCAACACTGTATCATGCATCTCAAGCCATATACCTACATGGCTTGGAAGGTTGGGCTTTTACTACAGTTGAAGTTGCTCCTTCCTCACTCTCAGATGTGCTGCTGCTGCTTTCAGAGCTCTCTGCTGCTTTTGCAAGAGTGGTCTGTGCTGTTTTTTGTCCTCCTGAAATCAATGACTGCGAAGGAGGTCCTGCTTTACTGGAAAGACCTTTATTTGGCCCTGCTTTTCTCACAGCTGGAGGCAGGGGCTTATTTGAAGCAGATTTGTTCTGTTTTCCTTTTGCTTGTACAGCAGCCACAGCCACCCCCTTTCCTGGGACAGAATTAGTATTTTGATCAGCCAGTTGCAGAAATTCAGCTTTGTTTTCAGCCACAGGGTTTTTCACCTACAACAAGGAAAGTGTGTTAAAAAATGAAGACATTCCATGACATCTGCCAAATCATTTTCCAGATACTTCTACATATCCTATGTTCAAACAATCTTTCTGACCCAAGGTTTCCCACAGATTTCATAACAATTGCCTGCTTATAATGTGTGCTCTGGAGACCACACACTCTTCACTCCAGTTCCAAACTGATGAACACATCTGTTCTCCCGTTCAGGAACAATCACCTGAACAAACCACAAAGTGGTTACCTGAAATAAGGAATGACAGTCAGGGGCTGGAAGACACACCTTGCCCTGAGCAGCCTAAGCAGCTTGTGTAATGGATGCTTCCCCATCAACAGTGCTAGAGATCTTCTGTATGGGAAAGTGGGGTTGACCTTAGTTCAGGGGTATAAAAGTGGGATCTGGCTAATACCAGCATTCCTTTTGTGGCCGAGGAGGGGCTAAAAATTTCTGCACCCCCCCCTTTTTTTAAGCGGGGAGGATTAAGGAACAAATTGGATACCTTAAACCTTGCAAAACCTTAAGACACTCAGCTTATAGAAACTGTGTACCTTATGGTTTTGAGCCTTTTCCCCCCTCTTTGTATACTCTATACTCTATGGCGTGTGAATTAAAAACATCATATAGAATATGAAAGACAACTTTTCTCAGGTAAACTTACATGTTTCTTCTCATAGTTAATACTAGGATAAGCAATACACAGTTTGCTATCGAGGCACCAGAATTTATCTGTAAAAAACAACTGAGACAATGCAACCTATGGACTCAGTGTTTTTTAAATGCAGACAAGTATTTAGTCAAGAGAGGCACTTTTCTATATTGCATCTGACTGCAGATTTTAAGTATTTTCTAGGACATAATGATGTTTAAAATAAACAGACCACTGGTATAGTCCTAATCAACCATCCTAGTTACATTCCTGGTATTCTGTAGCAGAAGTAACAATAAGCAAAGTCGCTGCTTACAGTCTTTCTGGCAACCGCCTCCTCTTCAGAAGATGAATCTGAATCTTCACTACTACTCTCTTCTTTAGCTACTGTCTCCCTTAGCTCGGTGCTGTTATTCCCAGGCAGATTAGCTGGAACACCCATATGAAAGAAAGCACAACATACAGAAAGACTGAAGGCACAATTCTTTGCAAATTATATCACAACCAACTGGAATGGAAAAAATTCTAGGAAAGGTGAAGCCAAACAGCTGTTATCTCATCTAAGTCAATGAAGGGGCTCTGCTCTCTACTTCTCCCTCTTCTATCAAAGCGTCAATGGCCACTGGATGACAGATAGGAAATGAAGTACTCTGATTAAAAAAGTTTGTTTTAGGCAGATACCCAATCTGGTTGAAGTGATTTCATCCATATTAGTGCAACAGGATACAGTCTCCATCATTTCAAGATAAGCCACTCTGGGCACAAACTATGCCAAATACCAGTAACATATAAAACTGTACTGAGGTTGTCCTGATTTAAATCTCTTTGAAGGCGGTAGCTAATTATTTTCTAGTCTTGAATTCTCAGTTTTATTGTTTTCAAGGCAGTAAGCTGCGAAGAAATACAATGGAATTTCAAGTCAAACATTGGAAGAACAGGATTACTGGGACAGCTGATCTCCATAACTAAAAACATATTGTTATAACTGCCAAATCTATAAGTCAACAATGGAAACTTTTAGACAACAATTGAAAAGTGTTGTTCAAAGGTATGATCTATAGGTATGGTTGAAAAAAAATCATGGATGCAATTCAAATTTTAAATGCCCAGAGGCATCACAATTCTGTTCAATTTTCAATGCTTATATACTATATAGAAATAAGGTGTCACAATATTGTAGTGATGAAATATTCCAAATGTTGTGAACTTGTAATGTTACTGGAATAATATATAAATACATAAATAAATAAAAACTAAAAATACATTGTTGAAGTTTGTTTTATTCCCTCTTGTTCCCAATCTCAATTCCTTCATATTACAGTAATACAGGTAGGGGCTTATTTCACATCTTTTAAACCATTTTTTGGAGTTCATACAGAGTGGGGTACAAGGTTCTTAAATGATACCTGTGCCATTATCATCACACTGATGCCCAGCCTTCCAACTTACTTTCTTCTCCATTAAGAGAAACCACAGTCAACAGATGTTAATCCTGTCATTTGCTGGAAGGATTTAACAAGGATGGCAGAAGTTGTTCGTTTTAGGATCTATGCAGCTTTAGTTCAGTTTCTTCAGTAACAATGACACAGCTCCTAGATCTCCCCATTTCCACACACCTATCTTCCTCTCAAAGCTCATTACTGCAATACTTTCCTGAACTGTTCAGCACCCCTGGTTCTTACTTGTTATGGTTTTTGCTGCTTCTTCCTCTTCTGAGCTCTCAGAGCTGCTCTTGGGGTCAGGAATTCTGATCTTTACTGGAGTGCCTCTCTTGCTTTCTATAGTCTTTTGTTTCATAGACTGTGAGGAAGTCCTGTTAGACAGATTTTATAAGGATACTGAATTGGAGTTAACAAGCCTTGTTAGGAAGGTTCTCAAAATGTATGGAATTGTGTACCATCCTTCAGAAACACTTTCTTTTGTTACGGCAGAAATAAAAGTTGGCATTTCTTTGTCTTACACACACACACACACACACACACACACACAGGATTTGACTTGATACAGTTTGATCAACTTCTCAAGAAAATATAAGGCCAGCAGACTTCAAATTTAACTTCTTAGAAATTAGAGCTATACACATCATATGCAGGACCATGAAATTACAATGCAAAGCTTCATTAAGCCCAGTAATATATTTACTCCAAGAATAACATGGCCCTAGAATTTTCCTATGGTATCTCTACCCACCATATAAAAGTTTAAGCCACATCATATACAAGAGAAGAAACACAAAGGATGAAATGACTTGGCTAAATGTATCACAGTCTTATATACATATTGCTATTTTTTCAATCATAAGGGGAGAACATCTCTCACTACCACCAAGCTAGGATTACCAAAAGTAGCACAAAACTCAGTCAGTCTAGGATAACTGTTATATTCTGTTGTTATTTTAACTGTCTTTTTCAGCCACCCTTGGTAGGAGTTTTGTTTTCTTTTCTTTATCAAGGCTTTTTCTTAGTAAGAGACAACTTTATCTTTATATTGCTTTGTATTTTGTTTCAAATTTGTTTTCCTTTTCTTTGTGTTTTAATAAAGTGGTTTGTTTTGTATTTGTTGTGCCTGGGGTCATCTGAGGGTTGGCTTCCTGGCCACATTTTTGCCAAAGGGAATTTAGATGTTAATCCTGTCATTTTCTGGAAGTAACAAAGAGGGCAGAAGTTGCTGTTCTGTCCCTCCACTGAGAACTTTGATAAAATTTGCCTCCAGTTAAGTAGAAAGGGATAGTGACAGTGGACTATCACCAAGGCCCAGCAATTCAATGGTTCTCTCCAGGTCCCAGATACAGGGAGGGTACTAGGAGAGATTCAGGAGAGGGCAAGTCATATGCACTGCTGCCATATCAAAGGTTTTCAGGGCCAATCAATGTGGAAGTAAAAAGCATAGAATAAGCCTAGGAAAAAACTGGAATCAACCATCAACGTTATGCAAGTAGAAAAGGTTAAAATTGCCTAGTGGTTGCTGGATGAATACAAGTTTTTCTGGGGCCTCAGCACTGTTCATTGTTTCAGATGGTCTTTTTACTGTATTGTGTTTTTGTTTTGTTCACTGTCCAGGGCTCCTTCTGGTGGATGGGCAGCTATGTACGTTTCTTTAAATATGTAAGATTTCATGAAATCTGCAGGCATTTCATTAGATCTCCCAGATTTCAGTTTAAAACCAAGTATGTTCTTTTTAGGGACAAAATAAAAAAAAAAATGTGCAGAGACTATGTAACTATTAGTAAACTAAAAGAGCAGCCTGGTGCTAATTCCACTGCTCTCCTCCTCCTTCCTCGCTAGGAATATTTTCTGAACTCTTCATTGGATCTAGAAAAACATTTAACGGCAAAAGGATTAAAAGGAAGGAAATAGAAAAAAATGTAGCAAAAGCAACGCCTGTCATTTGTTTTTAAATGAAAAATAAATTGGTTGCATTTTTGTTACATTTTTCATATACTTTAAGGAAACAAACACAGAGAACTTAGTATTGCCACACGCACACAAATACCTTACTGTTGCAAACTGTGCCAAAAATAGTCACCATACATCTTTAAGTTAGTGTGGGTATAGCTACACAGATTTTGAGTGTGGTGAAGGTTTATGTTTTTCAACAGGACTGAATGGCAGTTAGGAGCAGTGCTAATGAGGAATCCCAAAGACCCACCAATTTACCAATAGCAGATGAAGCTATCCAGAAAATTAGCATTTTTCTTCTAAAATAAACAGAAAAACCAAGCAATAACTTTATATTCCTGCATGTACTGATTTCCCAAGTCTGGAGTTCCTCTTTGGATAAAAGTGCAGAGTGAAATTTCCTACCTAGCAATAGAAGACTCACAAGATTTCTATGCAGGGATATTAAAAACTGATGCATTGCTCTAATCCAAATTTTCCATAGCCTGGTATGCTACAGACATACTAGATCATAACTCTCATCACACCCAGTATAAGGAATTGTAACTGAATGCACCAGGAAATTACTGGGCTTTGTACTAATTTATTATGTAAAAAGGATTATCTGGGCACCAATAGCTTCAAAAAGGTTAAAACAATGATATTCAGAGGCAAGAAAGCTAATCTAAGTATCTGTCTTAATAAATGAGCAACTATAAGCAGCTTCTTTGAGTAAGTTACTGACAACAGACAAGTTCTTCTCTTATACTGTCATCTGAAACTAGTCCAAAAGCCAATACTGGATCTGTGGAACACTGCTAACAAGAACAGGACTATTAAACTGGGTGTAAAAACAATAGCAATAGAATTTAAGGGAGCAGCAGGCAAAACTTCTCCAACCACCCACCAATAATAAACACAAAAGCTTACTTTCTCCAATGAGTGATGATCTCTTTCAGAGAAATAGAAGATGATGGGAAAGACTTCTGTACAGGAAGAAAAAATATTGAATTTATATGATTAATAATTTTTATATTAGAATCTTTAGTCCAAAATTCTGGATTAAAATTACAATTCTAAAAATGTAGTCTGTTAAGTAAAATTTTACTCTTTGCAGATGTGTGTGGGATTCTTACAATACCATCATATGCAATGCTACTCAGGAGTAAGACCTAATGATTTTGATGGGATGTATTTCCATGTAAACTGTATATAAGACCAGAGCCCAAATTTGCAATCTATGGTACACATTTTTAAAATAAGCCTCACTGGTTTTTATGAATATTGTTTCATGGAACTTACATTGGACTGGACATATTATCTTCAAAAGACAAGTAATGGAATTCAGAAGATTAAAAACAAAACAAAATCTTCTAACACATTTTAAACCATAGCTAATGTATTTCTGGAAATTTTTGAAGCCACTGGGAGGAAAAAAAACTACCCCTTCTGACACACACAGTGATTCTCCACCAAGAAAGCAACAGTTTCAGTGTCTCAATACTGTATATGTAATACTTTCTGTTTTCTCAAACTTCAAAGGTTCTTTAGCAGAAAAAATATACTGTTCAGCATACTGATTAATTTTATCAAGACAGAAAGTGAATGTTTACTCAAAACTTCCAGGTAGCTATTTTCTACCATGGCTCTGTCTCGCCCAAGTTCCCAGATATTCTTTTCCTCTGAAGCTTCAATATACACAGTTGATCATCCTCATCCCCTGTCCTTTATTTTCCAGCAAAACAAAGCAATAAACTGGTTGTTTGGTTCCTACTTTGTAGCAAGACTGTGTCACCAATGTTTGAAGGTCAAGTGAAAAGGCCAATCAATAGGGATTAAAACAGATTAAAAGGACAGCAGGAACAGGATACTTGCCACCAAACTAGATCAAATAACTAGAAAAAGTGAAACAAGATTATGTATATGACTTTTATAGATGACAACCACAATTTCTAGAAACAGAAATGTGTTAAATTTGTGATGTTTAAATGTCTCTCTATTTGTCTAACATAGGGGTGGGCAACAGTCCCCCAGATGTTATGGATCACAACTCAAATCATCCCAGGCTATTTAGGAAGTTGGAACAGTACACCTGGAAAACCAAAACTTCTCTAATCTGGTGTCCTCAGATGTTCCGGATTAGTTAATACTGTATGGCTGTCGGTCATGTTCTTGGGATGGTAAGAGTTAAACTACTTCTACTCCAAATTGGGGACGGCTGATAGAAGTTGCTTCAAATTCTATATTTTTAAAAGTGAGAATGGCATTTGTGTTAAAAAGCATGTTACTAATTCCAAGGTATTTTACAAAAGTGTTTCTTTCAGTGTTCCTCAAACTTTCAATTTTCTTAGTTGGCACAAAATTAAAATAAAATTCTTCAGAGGGAAAAAAAAGGCCTTCAAACACTCTAATACTATGCTTACCACAGCATTGCTAACTGATACATCAACATGACTAATAAATGTTAAGCACAGCAACAAGTGACACACATTAGCAGCACTGATAAATGATTTAAAATAGTTGATGACAATCAGCTAGGACAATAAACAAACACCCTCCTACAAATTGCTGAAGACTGCTAATTACAACACTGTAGGAGATGGTAGTGTATTTTTAGCATTCTTATTCTTCTTCACATTACAATTAATAAATTGTCAAAATGCCCACAACTGAATCCCAGTTCAAATTGTCCTTCTTAACTACGATCGCAACAGAAAAGTCTCCATTAAAAGAATTCCCAAGAGTGTTGCAAGGTTCTGCAAGCTACACTGCTAATTCTCAACTCCCCAGCCTTCTATCTTAGCATCCCTACTGCAGCGCATGAGATATGCTATAAGCAAACTGATAGAATGTTTTATTTGCCATAGAACACCCACCTCTGTGGAAGAGCTAAATGCTATTCTCGCAGAAACCCACCTCCCGTGCAACCCTGAGTGGGCAATGCTGGCATCAGGGGAGAAGATGTGGAACACACTGATGACTGGCATTCACCTCAACATGCAGATTCTTCTCAAAGTACAGTGGTCCCTCGGGATACGAACGCCTCTACTAGCGAACATTTCGGGTTACGACCAGCTTCGGCAGGAAAAATTTACCTCGGGTTACGAACGCCTCTACTAGCGAACATTTCGGGTTACGACCAGCTTCGGCAGGAAAAATTTACCTCGGGTTACG